TGGGGCCTCTGGAAAACCCAACGAATTTCCAGACTGAACTCCGGGGCTTGGTTTTCTGAGATTTGGGTTCTCCAGAGGCCCTAGTTTCGAGACCTTTGATAGAATCTTTTCATACAGCACAGCAGATTCCAAATTCTATCAGCTGTTCAAATCTTTTTTCAAATTTGTTCTAGCTAGTATGGTCGACGAGAAAAATGAAAAATAAAGGTAGCGAACAATTTTTGGAGCCATTCTAGGTTAAAACTGTGTAGCATTTAATACCCAAGCACCGCTGCCAAGCTTCATTAAGTTTCTGATTAACACATGTTGTAGAACGTTTCACCGCGCATCGAATGATGTATGAGTGATGAGGGATCATCTTTAGTTTCATAGAAAAAAGTGATCAAAACTTCTGTTGGAGTATCCGCGACTAATGGAAACGTCTAGTATTAAATCCATCAAACCTGCTGCCAGACTTTGTTAAGGTTCCTATTAACACATCTTGTAGAGCTTTTCAAGACGCGTCGAGTGATGTATAAATGCGTTTAGTTTCATAGGGAAAAGTGAACAAGAATTCCATTGGTATAGCCACGACCTATGAAAAAGTCTAGTATTAAGCTCATAAAATTATTCTTCGAACGGATCAAACTGGGTTATTTCTTCGTTAATCTTCTTATTAATACATCTTGTAGAGCTTTTCAAGGCGCGTAGGATGACTTACTAGGCTTAATATTGAATGGTTACGGAGAAAATTTGATTTTACGGTTATACTATTGGTGCTAAATCATTGCTTGTTTTCGAGTAGGTTCTCTCGTATATATTCGACTGAAAGGATTCGGAAGGGTTGGAATAATCGAATGTGATGATCGGATGTGATTCGAATGAGTTTCGTGCCGATTGGAGGAACTAAAGTTAGTGGGCCGATCTCACGTCTTATGCGGACTTCATCTTTCCAAACTATTATTATTGTCTCACGGAATTTTTTTGGGTCATTTTGTTTCAAATTTTTTTCTAAACTTTTGCAAGTATCTGTCGCCAAAAATAGAAAATCTTCAAGGTTATCGAATATGCTGAATAGGAAAAAGCACTTTTCAACAACTCAAAATCCAGTTTCTTTTTTTTGTTCCGGTGATATGCTTAGCGAAATGGATGGTCGATGAAAGCTACGCTCATGCGTGGACTCATTCGACTGTGAAGAAACAAATAGCCTTGCTCTTTTATTATTTACTAGCAAAAATGCTGGAAAGAAACTTTCATCAATACAATTAAAACAGTAAGTTTTATTGCATATAATGTTGTGTTTTTCTGATCTTCTTTAAAACAGTATATATTTTTGTTTTATAATCATGTGTCGAAGCCTTCAAAAAGGAAATGACGTATTAGGCTGGCTTTCGAGTTCCTCCAGACTTTCAGAGTATGGCTTTGTGCTGAAATCAAATATCTCATATATTCTCGATATGTATAGTATAAAGTTATTTGATAACACAAGATAAATACTATAGTCATACTCAAAATAATACAGTAATGCGATGCCGATAGGGCTAGTCCTTGACTTGATCCATATCTCTGAACAAGGGCAATTACGATTCCGTTAGTCAATTACGAAATCATGTTAGACAAACAATTGGTAATATCGATAAATCGTAACAGTATCAAGTGTTTTTCCACATCCAAAAATCTATGTTGTATATTTCGAACGCATTAGTTTTAAATCTTCTAAAGGTGACTAAAGAGTACGTTATACGTTACTGGACATATTGTCATCATGATACACTGCACAACTTACACACCAAGGATAAAATCGATGCGTTTTTTTTTCAAGTGATTGTGTGAATCTAGTCAAAGTATAGAATCAGCTTCTGATTTATGGATCCGACCTCTTACGTCCCACTAAAGTGTATAGACCGAAGCACTACTACGATTGGTAGATCATTTCATGTTTCTTTCTATGAATTAATAATGCATTTCGTGGTCATGATTATATCAGTCGTAAGTCTGGTTTATTTTGCCATTAAAGAATTTGACAAACATTAGAGATATGAGTATTATACCAAATTATGTAGAACAATCTTCGGTGTTAAAAAATCGGCCTAAATAATTACTAGCAGATCAGCTCGGACGAGGAAAGGTCGCCAAGTGTGAAATCGCTTTTTGCTTGAACTCTAGTGGACAATTGGTAATCGACTGCGCATAAATTCGAATCCAACATCGATTTATGCTGCTGGGCCGAGTTTCTGGAGAACCAGGTTTTCAGAAACTCTAAAAAATCACCGAAATCTTTTTTAATGAGTCATGATTGTAGGTCGCAAATTTCTGATTAAAGTGAGATATCTCCCAGCTCTACACGACCTTTCTTTGCAAAGTTATAGACTTAACACGAAAAGCCCTAAATGATCATTGTCAGCTCAAAGCTATAGAAATAAGAAGAAATTAATTTAGGGCTTTTCTTGTAATTTCTATAACTTTGCAAGAAAAGGTCATGTAGAGCTGGAAGATATCTCATTTTAATCCGAAATTTGCGATCTACAATCATACCTCATTAAGAAAGGTTTTGGTTATGTTTCAGAGTTTCTGAAAATCTGGTTTTCCAGAAACCCGGTCTCTGGAGGTCCAGCCTCACAAACTGATGTCAGATTCGGATTTAGCGCAGCCGATTACGTATTGTACACTAGAGCTCAAGCAAAAAGCAATTGCACCCTTGGGGACCTTTCCTCGTGAGTCTAGAGAGAATAATTTCTACTAGAATAATTTCTTAGAGTCACTGGTATATCATAAATCACCGACTATTCTGCGAACGATGCTTCCGCGAGCATTTTCCACGAACCGACTCTTCCGCGAATATCTCTTCCGCGAATATCTCTTCCGCAAATATCTCTTCCGCGAATATCTCCCCCGCGAACCGACTCTTCCGCGAGTGGTTAATAATGTATTCTTTTCGCTTTTTCTGTACTTTTTCTTTGAATACAAGAAGAACTAATATCTAATTCATAATCTCTAATAAAAACTGGATCGAAAATTATTATTGAATGATTTCGTATTCGGTAGCGCGGTTTACTAATAGGGTTTTACTGGTGTTTTTTCTATCAACCCTTCCTCGCGGCCTAAAATACCTAAATTTGTTTTAAGAAAAATTCGCGCAAGAGTCGGGATCTTATTCGCAGAAGAGTCGTTCGCGGAGCAGTCGTGTCTCGGTAAATCATATTTCTACAGTTTCAAGTGTCTCATTTTTATTATACTTCCGTCTTCTTCGCAAAAACAAAGTTTGCACCTTTAAATGTTCAACTGTTACTATTATTATAAACTAAGATAAAGTCTAAAATCTATCAGGAACGATGCAAGGCATTTCACATGATACCTTGCTTACATATATGCCATTCTTTCGCAATCATTGCTCACGCTATTTTGATGCAGAACAACAAAACTGTAAAATACGAGAAAAAAGGTATATTGTTGAAAAGAACGTTTTCTTATTACGCATGAGTTAAGACATGTGAGGTAAATAAGCAAATGCGTCACCATAGATGACTTTTATAAGAAGTTGTTATGCTTCTTAAATTGAGGACGAGTCTTTAATATCATATAGTATTTTACATAAACACATTTTACACCAAGGAAAACTGCTCAATAGTGCATAAGAGAACTTGAATTATGAAAAGAAAATAGAATTTTTTTACTGTAGGTATAAGTTGACGTGCATTGCCTTGAATCAAAATTTTAGATATAAATGAATTTCTATTACTGTCATAGGCCTTTGATTACAGAGAATGGACTAAATATTGACCGTAAAAAACTTCATTTAATAATTCAAATTTTGTTACGACCATCGCATAATAATGGTCACAGACTTCTTAATTACTTTACACTGAAAGACGTATTTTTGTCACCTCTGAGTGATATGAGATTATTTCATGTTGAAATTGTCATTCTAACTTATGAAAATAATACTATCCGTTATGAAGGACAAATTGATAACGGTAGAAGGTGTGGTGAAGGACACTGCTTGTTTCGATGTGAAGAAGAATTATTTGAATGGACAGGACTATGGATGAATGATATGTGGATGAAAGGTGTTCTAACATGTGAAGGTGGAATCCAGTGTATGGGTCAATGGAGAGGAAATAAAAATGGCGGCGTGTTTTTTAGTCAAGATGGTGATCTGTATATAGGACAATGGTTTCATGGAATTGCGCACGGACATGGCACATATAAAACTGCGGATGAGTACTACATAGGCGAATGCAGATATGGACAGAAAGTTGGCAAAGGTATTTTAATGTATTCAATAGGAGATAAATATGAAGGCACATTCAGACAAGGTCTTTTAGACGGTTTTGGGACATTCACATTTGAAAATGGTGAAAAATATGTCGGTGAGTTTAAAAACGGAAATTATTTTGGACATGGAACGTTGACTTTAGCGAACGGCAATTATTATGTGGGTGAATTTAAAAATGGTGAAAAACATGGTCGAGGAGTGTATACGTGGAATAACGGAGATCGATACGAGGGCGAATTTAGAAAAGGTTTGAAAGATGGCTATGGCGTTTACACATGGGCATTTGGAAGTCGACACGAAGGAAATTATAGAGAAGGTATCAAACAAGGATGGGGTAAGCAGACATGGCCTAATGGGTCTACATATGAAGGTGAATACAATGATTGTATGTTTCATGGTCGAGGAAAACTAACGCTACCTGATGAAAGTTACTATGATGGAGAATTTAAAAACGATGTCAAACACGGCCAAGGTGTTGAGATGTACTCAGATAAAAGTATTTATGACGGTCATTTTAAAGATGGTAAAAGAGATGGTCATGGGACTTTGACGTGGGAAAATGGTGATAAATATGTCGGAGAATTCAAAGATGATGTCAGAAATGGACACGGTATGATTACTTTTATATCCGGTGGCCGACTGGAAGGCGAATTTGAAAATGGTCTAGCGAATGGAAAAATTGTATATAGCGATGCGAATGAAGTTGGTTATGTTGGCGAATGTAAATTAGGTAAACGACACGGATATGGAAAACAAAAATGGGCTGATGGAGATGAGTACGAAGGAGAATGGAAAGCAGATGATTTTGATGGTTGGGGAGTGCTGAGCGTCACTTCGGGTGAGAAATATTCGGGATCGTGGCTAAAAAGCTTGAAACATGGAGTAGGATTGTATACTCATCCTGATGGTAAACAATATCATGGTGAATTTCAGAAAGATTGTAGACATGGCTGGGGAACATTTATGTTTCCGTCTGGTAGTTGTTTTGAAGGTGAATGGTTTGAAGGAGAGAGAAAAGGTAAAGGAACCTATCGGTGGCCAGATGGAACAGAGTATGTGGGAGAATGGGGAGATGAAATCAGTGGTGATCAACATCATAACGGAGTGTGGAGAGAGACTAGTGCCGGATAATCTTTGTTTTTCTTGTATATAGTAATTACACTTAAACTATTCCGCGAGCTGCTAGAAATACAAATCGATAAAACGATTCTATCATCTTAAGATTAATCTCATCTGTTTACCGTCTCCTTTTCGACATCAATTGAGCATTGATTAAGATGGGTAATTTAGAGGATCGATTATGTTTTATTGTTTGCTTGCATTACAGCGAATAATTAGCATAGATAATATATTCATCATAAAGAAATATCTAACTGCTTTGAAAAGATGTATCATCATTCGTGATACTTGGAATCATTTTGTTAATATTATTATTGTTCAATTGTGTAAAGATAGAATAACTATAACGTAAGTGTAAATAGACTCATATCAATTGCAGCTTGTTTTCGATCGACTACTTTACATGGTTTTAACGCACGTATTTCTCATTTCAAATAAAGTGCAAACGCTGTTTCTATACAGTTGTTCTAACTTTCGAAAGGAAACTTTTAAATTCGTACAGTATATATTTTCTCATTACATTATACTCGACATATTTCAAGAAAATGAGTAAACATCCTCCCGAAACTGAGCAAAGTTTTACACAGTACTAGGAAGAAATTTTCTTTAAAAATGTTAATAATAATTAATACAAGATAAGATATAATAACAGTAATTTCCTTTAAAGAGAACAGTATTAAGTTGACTAAAGGCATTGACAGAAAAAACAAGAAATAAATATGTAGAAGCAAGTCGGAATTAGACCTAAAACCGTACCATGGTGGTCCAAACATGAAATTTCTATCTCGCAATGGTGATAGCTGCCTATTACAATTGTCACAATTCTATAACCGCTTAAGCAGCTTTGAAGCCATTTAGGTAAATCATTCGAAAGCTATAAGCAATGCAGTTTATGGATGAGATCATTGTAAGTGACTTTAAGAAGAGCCTTTTCGAAATCAATAAAAGAAGCTAAAAGTGATGTGCGAGACATAAAAGACATCAAGATATACTGAACAATTCCGATCCGTTGATTGATGGTAAGTGTTCACAAACTGCAGTTCGATTAAGATGAAAGATATAATTCGCGTCGCAAGCAGCGTGTAAATAGTTGGAAACTTTGAAAACACATTTTAGAAGAGCAATGAGCCAAGCGCTATTTTTCCAACCAGATTCATCAGATTTGTGTAAACCATCGGCAAATCGTAGCTCCAGGTTGCAGAAGACTGCAGTATTCAAAGCTTGATTAAAATTTGAAATAGTAAGTAGTACTTCATGAATCATTCTGCTCCTTGTGCTAAAAGTTCCTGCTTTCGACGCTTTGATCTTTGTTAACATGATTCAATTTCATAGATCTGAAAATTTAGGACGAGAGCAGACAGGGTAGATGGTTCACTGGATGTGCAATATTGACAAAATACTCATTCAATAAATTAATTTCGTCAGTAGTCTTTGTGATTCAACTATTGGAAGACATATTAAGAGTTGAGATAATCAAAAAATCATCGGAGTGGTTCATTCACTGAAACAATATACTTGAACAGAACCGGTTCCAATCTGCATGTTTATAATTAAATATGCAGCTCTTATACTTGGAAGAGGGCATAGTCGTGTTCGCAATTAAAACTGCACTGCACAATGCTCAGTGACATGATAGCTCGAGTAGTACGCGCATATTCAATATGGACACTTAAATAAGTGGTGTGGGATGGATGCCCTACTTGGGGTACTAACTGCAAAGTGTATTAACTTTCTATTATCGTCAGTAGAAGAAACAGTAGATCACCAATGCTTACGGTGAACGTTAAAATTGCCAATAGCGGAGTCATATTTAACAACAAATGGTGTAAGCACAATATTACTCGATAGATCAGACTTCAATTTGAAAATCGTTTCTTGAAGTAGACAGTCTATGGAATCTTTGCAAAACTGATTCATACAGAGGACAAGGTACTTATTAGCTATTGTGGCCGTATTTGTTTCTCAAAAAATTCCAAAAACTGATGAAAACCTACCACTACGAAAATAACCGACTGCAGACTATTTTAACGCCAAATGAAAACCTTCGTACCTCACTCAGAATCTATAATAATAACTTGAAATACTAGCGTAAATCGTATATTAGTTATTCACTATGTTTTGTATCGCTCAAACTACAAAAAATTATTATGAACATATTGTTTTTTCAAACCAGTTCAAAAGATAAGTAACGTTCGCGAAAACTCGCTGAATCCCTCCGCTGTAAGCAATGATTAATACACTGATAACGCTCATCTTCGACTCGCTGATCTGACAGAATGCTCATAAGTCAATATTTCGACCAATTCCAGGCATCAGTGAGACTTAATGAGAAACAGAGCTCAACACCCAAGAGTTTCCTAGAGGCCCTCAGGAAATCCCAGGAGATTAAATATAAACGTTCTCCTATAACATTCTAGAGTGAAGCCATGAGTATCTTCTCTGTTTGAAGAAACTCTTTTTTTCCTTCCGGCGTATCCGTCATCTTTTGACGAACAGGCAGAAATATATTTTTCGTTTTATGACCCTTAACTTACAGTCAAAGGAAAATGTCATATTAACTGAAAACTTTTTATTGACTTTTTATGGTATACTAGCGTGCATCAAGTCAAATTAAATACACCTTGAAATTTTCAAGTTATTATTATCGATTTCGAATGGGGTGCAAATGTTTTATCTGCTGTTAAAATAACCTACAATTGGTTATTTTCATAATAGCAAGATTTCAATGGATTCTTAAATTTTTTGAAAAACAGACATTATCACAACACTCGACAAAACGTATGTACTGTTGTTTTCTAAGGTCACCATACAGTAGTGAAGTCTAGTTCTAGTTAGCTATCAATGCATGAATGTTTTTTGTAGTGGGAGGACAGCATGTTACAAAAACCTGTAGGATATAACCACTCCTGTGGGCTAATGCAGGATTTTAAAATTTTTTTCAATAGTGAAGAGTCAACGACCAGTGTGGGTATATTTTTTTACTCTAAAATTTGTACAGCAATTCAAAGTTGTCGTTGTGGAACTTATCTATAGTTAACTTTTATAATTTGCTAATTTCGGAACGATAGGTGCACTTGAACGGTGAGCTCTCTAGTAAGAATTCGATGTACTTTTTAAAATAGTCATACCAAGAGTGTGTGCGATATTACTTTTTGAGATCTCTGTAAAATATCTGAAATCTTAATAAGATTTAATACTTCTAATTTCATTCATCTACCCGTTTGCTTTGCTGCAAGTATGTAACTAACACGGAAAATACACTATCACTTTTTTCTTTACGAATGTTTTCTTGGATGAAGATATTTCTGCTGTGATGCGACGGACTCAACTTTTAATTCTTCAGTGTAATATTTAATCAGTAACTATAATGTTTTTAAATACGTAAATATTTATATTCATTCAAGCGAAATTATTCAGATGACAAAATCCACACTGATAACATTAGCAAAAGGCAGATATGAATACAAGAGTTTAGTATGAAATCAATTATTCCAGTATAGTCTGTGGACTCGTAACTGTAAAGACCGGTCCGGACTAGGCTCATACAAACTTTTTTCTAATCCATGGACTGGAAAATTAGGGTCTATTTTCGGCGCCAAATACAGTGCAGATTGCCATTTGTTTAATAACTCAATAATAACGCAAGATAGAACATTGCGGTTTTCAGCAATTGGAAATAGGCACTTGAGGCTAGTTCTCCACAAGTAAAACGATTTAAAAAAGTTTTTAAACCGGTTGTTGTGCAAATCTTTGGAAAACTAGTTTAGATCTCAAATCATATTCTCACATAAGTACATTTGACTTAAGAGTGTTATTAAGATAAGACTTTCTTTGACAGATAACGGGTAATAATTGTTTTCAGTTTGCATCATTGACATAAGACAAATTTGACAATGTTGAATGAATGATAGCAATAAATGAATAAGTCGATAGAGAAATATCATACTTGATTCAACCGTTAATCTTGTACATTATATCAAAATCGATCGTCATTATTTCAAAATTGAAATGGGACCATATAAGCACTTGGACGATGTTCGCGTGAACTGAACTACGATTGGCGCCAAAATACAGTGCAAATTGCCATTTGTTTAATAACTCAATAACAGCGCAAGATAGAACGTTGTGGTTTTCAGCAATGGAAAACAGGCATCTGAGGCTAGTTTTCCACAAGCAAAATAATTTAAAAAAGCTTTTAAATCGGTTTGGACAACCAGTTTCGATCTCTGAAAACTGACATAGAAATGGGTCAGTCTTTTCTCACAGACAGATGGGCCAAAGTGTCTTATCCAAAACAGAAACTAAGCGAATTCTTAGTTTTTCGTGGTTTTGATGTGGTATCGGATTGGCTAAGAATCCCAGGATCACTATTTCTTTAGATGTGACAATTCTCACAACGAATGGAAACATAGGTAATCGACCACGCTGAATCTTGCGGCGACATTTATTTTCAAAAAAGTTTCAAAAACCTAGTGAAAAGTTATATTATATGACATAACTCATTTTTGCCTATTTTTGAATAAAAGTAAAAAAGGTTCATAATTCAGTCAAGAACAATCTAAATTATGTCAGAATATCAGTGTGTACTCTATTTTACCTGCTCGATACTATGCAGCTCAATAAAAGCTTTAAAAACCAATACTCAATCAAAATACTATGGATTTTGAAAAGATTTTCCAGAAATCTTCCGAAGTACAACAATGTTTTTTACTATTCTCAAGTAAAAAGACATATAGAGCAGGTAAAATAGAGTACATGCTGATATTATGAAAGACTGACCTATTTCTATTCAGAACCGATTTAAAAGTTTTTTTTAATCATTTTGCTTGTGGAAAACTAGCCTCAGATGCCTGTTTTCCATTGCTGAAAACCACAACGTTCTATCTTGCGCTGCTATTGAGTTATTAAACAAATGGCAATTTGCACTGTATTTTGGCGCCAATCGTAGTTCAGTTCACGCGAACATCGTCCAAGTGCTTATATGGTCCCATTTCAATTT